TTCCGAAAGCTAAAACAAGAATACTACACGACAGAAAAAGATCAAAATGAGTATCACCTCCAAACGAATGACCTAATTTATCTATTACTTTATCACTTATGAAGCAACAATACGAGCCTCACGAGAACAAAAGATTTAGGATACTGCCTACGACATGTGTCCAAGTTTCACTTCCATCTTAAACACTTATCACTAAGCTGGTTATCTCCCCTTACCTGCCCTTTCCATCAGTCCCTCATTCTAAAACCAGAGTAGCAATATCAGTATCTCTGTCCTCAACCACCACCCAAATGGAATAACAGCCTTAGTAAAAAGAAAAAAACAACCCAGGAATCATGAAATGTTTACTTTCCTGACCAAAAAAGACTCACAAGTACAACTTATCAATTTTCTTAACAATTCTATTCATTCTAACTTTCTTTTTTAAAATCAGTCTTCAGAAATTGCTTGCCAAAATCTGATCTGAGGCAACTGATCTTGAGTTGCCTGAAAGGCTTTTCACTCATAGGTTTTCCCCAGACATTAATGTTCTCCTGCCAGGACCTCTCACTAACCTCCTCTTCGGGAATGGGGATCTTCTCATCAAAGTAGGTGGTGAAGGGCTCGTCTGAGCGCCCAGTGGCCTGTGGAAGAGAGGAGTTACTGTAGGCAGGGTTGATGGCACCAAGACTGGCAGCATCTCCATGGTCTCCAGAAGTATCGCCTGAAAAATAAAAAAAAAAACATTAACAATTCATTCTTATTAGCACAAAAATTAGGTCTTTAAAATGCCTAAATGTACAGATAAGACCAACCTGAGTCTAGCTCAATTTATTTTTAATTGTTTTTATTTGTATTTTTTTAAGCACAATCACATGGCTAAAAATCCAAGTACAAAAATAGCTAAGGGAAAACTCTCCCTCCCCCAACCTCAGTCACTTAGTTCTGGACCAGTTTTAACACTAATCTCATAATGGTTTTCCTAATTTCACACCTCTATTCCTATTTGGTCATTTTTACAATCATTTCATATTCCTCTAAAAACATGGATATTTTAGGCTCAAATTATAACATTCCTAGACCAGTCCCCTTGGTAACATAAAATCGTAACTTTTGAAAGAAAAAAATTAGGGCAGTCTAGTGGAACAACTCCCTTCTTCTCTCTTCCTCATTCCACTTGGTAGGACTCACTCAAGGGATCCTCCTGGGACATTCTATCGCTTTGAGGCTTCTCAGAAAATACAGAAAGTACAAAGCCTGCCACAGCTGAGGCTAAAAATCTGCAGCTGCAGGAAATCCACCAATCAGGACCATCTGCCTCTGACTAATGTCTGCAGAGAAGGGCTGCAAGTCACATGGTACTGGCGCCCTCGTGATAGGTGGCTCTTCTCAGACTGACCAGTGTTTCCCTGAGTCTTGAATTTTCTGTCACTCTTAAATGCAGGGAGAAGCTTGGAGAAAAGTGCTAATCGGCCAGATACACACAAAAGCCAGTTTGCTGCTGCCACCAAACGACTATTTTGAACCACACACCTCTGTGTTTCCAAAATGCCCTTGTGACCTTCAGTCAGAAAAATAAAAGCTTTTTGTCTATAGGTAGCTGACCCACATCACCCTAACTGGTCCTGAAGTGATAGGGAAAATTACAGAAAAAGAACAGAAATTCCAGAAGTTTACAATTTGGAAAGGCTTAAGAGAGTTAGAAGTTTAGAATTAGGAAGGATTTGCCAAAGCACTCAAGAAGCGCCAATCAAATACAGAGTATAAGGCACTCCCCATGAAGTGTAATGCTCCACACACAACTGAAAGAAACACCAGGAAGTGTCATGAGCAGCCAAAGTCTGGGAATAATATTGCCCTTGCAAGCACTACTGCTACAGATAATGCTAATCTTGGCTGCTACAGATAATGCTAATCTTGGCTCTTCATCTCAGAATTAGAAATAAAACATGAGGCAGGTCTCTGGCTATAAATCCATTCATTTATAGCTCAAATCACCTGACTTCTGAATGGAGCAGAAGACAAGACAATTTTTGTTGGAATAGACAGTGAGAAGGAAAATACCGCAGATTCCTGCTACATAAGCCTAATATCAAATACAAATTAGACAACAACAAAGCTATAAATTACCATTTGGCATGTTCTGCTGAGGACCCAATACCATGGTGGATACCTGAGTGCCCGCCTTCTTAGAATAGGATTCTGGAAAGGAGAAAAGGGAGGCCAAGAAATCAGCATCATTAAATGACAAATCACAACTGGCAGTCTGTTACTCCGTATGCTGAATGCTTAATATATGGAAAGAATAATTTTTCACCAAATTAGATAACCCTGAAAACAATGGCGGTTATTTTTTTGTTTTTGTTTTTTTCATTCAGGATATGATTAAGAGATATTTAACAAAAACGGAAACATTTTAATCACGCTTTTGTTGGCAAGACTTCAAAACCAATTTGAAGCAAAAGGTAATTCAGGGAAGTAGGCAAATACTTTTTAACAAGCATCCACAGGGAGGCGGGTATGCAATCACCCAGACTCTTGTCTTTGCCTCTAGATTAGGCATGTATTTACCCCTAATAAAACCAAACTGATTTTCCCCTACTTTTCAGGGCTGTTAAGGACAGGGATATAATATAAAACCAAACTCACTGCCATCAAGTTGAATCTGACTCATAACAACCCCCTTTGCGTTTTTCAAAGTCTACTGATTATGGGATCTACTCTCTTGATTCCAACTTTAGAAGAGGGGGAAAGATGAAGTAATATTGACACCTCCCCTTCAATTTGAATCATAACTACCCTACTGAAAAAGCCACAACAGCTCCTCTTGCTCATCTCTCTTACTGCTGAAATAGTCATTTTGCATCCCTGTCTTCTTGTTGCTCCTATCTGAAGAGTCCTTGACTTCTTTTTTGGTTCATCTATCTACCAATGCCTTCTAAACTGATATAATTACGCAATTCACACCTGAAAGGGGTTTTTAAAGTGGTAGCACAATGCCTAAGGCATCTGACTGCTAACCAGAACGTTGGTGATTCAAACCCACCAGCCACTCTACAGAAGGAATACTGGGCAATCTACTTCTCTAAAGATTTACCACCTTGGAAACCCAGTGGGGATCTTTATGAGTCAGAATCAACTCGATAGCAGTGGGTTCTATCTGCTAAGGTGTAAAACATACCACTATCTACTAATTTAGAAAACAGTCTTTCATCTCTGTTGTCACCAACATAAAGTATTATAATGGACAACTACCATATTCCTCCTGCCAGGGTTTAGTCACTGGATGGCTAAACACCAGTCAACAGACTCTAATAACACTAACCAAATCCAACCTCTCTTTCAGTTACAACAACATTTTACCTAAATGGGATTTACATATCTGATCACTCAAAGTAGTAGCAGGTCCTCGGATTCTAATCACAGAATGTCCCCTTGATCCCACCACCCAGAGCCCACTGACTTTTGTTTTATATAAAATTCCAATGAATCAGGTTATCCAACCTATAACAAATTAGAAACCACAAAGCAGATTTGGGATTATGGTCCTTACAGGGAAAAGGGAACTTGGTCCCTGAGGAATAAGAAAAACTAAAACATTATATTAATCTTGGGCCATGTGGTATGTCAGCAAAGAGCGCTTCTACCTCACACACCTCTAGAGACCGTAATTATGAAGAGTACAGTAACTCATGTTTCTAATGACAGGCCTGAATCACTAAGAACTGAGTAGCTGCCTTAGGGAATGTGGTCTGCTTCCTATATATAAGGAGAAGTCTTGGGGATAGTCTCTGGCTTGTGGCATGCTTGGACCCTGCATGTAGCTGTGTCATTGTTCAGCAGCCTGCCATGCTTGGCCAACCTGCTTAACTTCCAGCCAAGCAACAGACAGGCCTACAAAGTGAACAGGAGCTCTGGTAGAGTAGTGCCTAAGGCACTTGACTGCTAACCAGAAGGCTGGAGGTTCAAACCCACCAGCCACTCCTTGGAAAGAAGGTTGGGCAATCTACTTCTGTAGTAATACCACCTCAGAAACCCAAGGAGGGGTCGCTATGTGTTGGGTCTGACTCCACGACACATAACAACAACAACACAAAGTGAACATTACACCACACAGGTACACTCCTTAGAACAATAAACTAACTATGAAGATCAGAATGGCAGCAAGTGTGAAGGGAGAAGAAAGCTCAGAGGGCAGGAATGCATAGGAAAGAAGGACACGGGGAAAAGATAACCACAGGGAGGAAATGGGAACAGAGATGTCAAATTGTGCGGACTGCAATAAATGTCACAAAACAAAATGTGTATGAAATTTTATAGAGCAAATTTATTTTCCATTCAACAAATGGAAAACAAACTTGCGCTATAAAATTTCACCCAAGTCACAATTTAAAAAACATGAAAAACATAGACACACACGGAGTTACCCCCCAAAATGCATACCAGCTATAATAAGTCCTGAATATCTAACTAATAATTTTACGGTTGTCTTAGCATTTAGAAGAACTAACTGTCCCCAAGAATTTGAAATAATTTCTTATGAAATTATGGTAAAAACCAGTTGTCATCGAGTGGATACTGACTGATGGTGACCCCATCTGTTACAGAGTGGAACTACCCCATAGGATTCTCTTGGCTGGAATCTTCACCAAATCAGCTTGACAGGCTTTCTTCCACGGTGCCACTAGGTGGGTTCGAACCACCAACCTTTCAGTTAGCAGCAAAGCACAAACCATTTGTGTTATCCAGGAACCTCTTTACCAAGCAAAGACATTCAAAACCATTTCACTGACTTCAGAGCTACATTCAATGTTGCAAAGGTCTCACTAAAACTAATTGTGAGATCTAGTGATGAATGTTTTTGAACACAGTTTTACTGTTCTTTTCCCTCTCCTTCCTCTCTTCTCCATCTCAGTGAAATATAAAACAGCTTTACATAGGAAAAGAACTTTCAGAAGCAGCCAGAAATAACTGATTAAACAAAGGCAAGCAGGAATGTTTAAAGCAGACTGGCAAAGCAGCTTCTCCCTCTCTACGGTTCCCTCAGACCCTGTTCAGTGCCAGAAGACAATCTGGTTACATGTGGAAACTGTCCGATACACAGATCAAGGCTTTAAAAAGTGATATCCAAATGTTTACTAGAGAGCAACAGGAGCTGTGACCAATAGATTGCACTTGTCCTAAAGAAACTGCAAAGATTTCCAGATCCTTCTAAAATCCTAGTATCTCTAAAGGTCTACTTTAAGGCTGAAGTGCTCCATGTTCTACTACTAAACCATTACTATTAATCTAGCACCTGTGTTGTACAAGATGTTCTGCAGGAAGGTAAGCTTCTACTCTTTGGATAATCAGGAATCAATAAAAACTCTTACTGAACTAGTCAAGTGGTTCAAACAGAGCTAATTGTTTTCTGAACCCTGTGCAGTTTATTGAAGTCCCTTGGTGGGACTGTGAACACACCGAGCTACTACCCAAAAGGCTGGAGGGTGAATTAACCCAGAGACACCTTGGAAGAAAGACCTGGCAATCAATCTATTTCTGGAAACCCAGGGAGCATAATTCTACCCTGACATATGTGAGGTCACCATGAGTTGGACTCTTCACAACAATTGGAACGTATTTTAAAGGAAGATTATTAGCCATCTTTGTTCTTAATGAGAGATTATTACTTGCTGTGTTTTACATTCCAGGTCAATGTAAAAGCACCACTTTCAGTCTTTGCACTAAGGATATCCATCTAATTAGCTCCAAAACTCAATCTGACCTCCTGGGGATAAGGGGAGAAAAACAACTTAGAAAAGCCTTTGAATTCCCAAGTTATTCTTGAGGATGTGAAGTTTAGAATCATTTTTAATCTGCATAAGCTTATCCTAGTTTTCTTTTATTAAAGGGATTTTGGTATAAATTGGTAAAGTGAAAAAAGAAAGACGACTCAGATTACATCTACTTCATGATTGAAGGAACAAAGTGAAAAGCCTCTCTGGTAAGTGTTGGTTTAAGAAAAAGGCCTTGAAACTCTAGTTCTCTCTGCGTAAGTGGGTAATATTAGAATGCCCTCAACCGAAAGCCACACACACACCTCCAGTTCCTAAAGTACAACCAGTGCTACTATTGTACAACGTGCTTAAGATCACAGGGCCTCTGTCTCTCTGTGCCCATCTGCCTCTCTCTCTCTCTGGCACACGGGCATTGAGAGACCAGCTTAAACTGCTTACTCATTTTACTTTTTATGTCATAGTAATTATCTCAAAATTGAAAACCTTTTTGTTTTTGCTTAGTCAACCAGAGAACTACTATTTCAACTCAATAAGTCTGCAGTTTTTCAAGTGAATTGGATTTCTGATAGTATGTTTTGTGGTTAAATGAAAAAACTGACTTTGTAGGCCACCTAAAGATAAATAAGGAAGAGAGAAAACACTAAGAAGCAGGAGAAGAGAGGGAGTGAGATGTGAACAGTATAGTTGATAAAGAAGCCAGCTGCCTGGGTATCAAAGACGGTAACAGTTAGAAATGTGGCCAGGCTATCAAGAAGTGACTGATCTTTTAGACAAAAACATCACTCAGAGATCGAAGAATTAGAAGGGTCTAATAGAAGTCAATAGAACTCTTCACTTTCTCTGCTCTGAGATGATCTTTCTAGCTTCCAAACCTCCCTGTCTGCTCACATTCCAAGGTCACTAAAGTCTTCCTTCCAGTGACTACATCTTCGGCTTTGTTCTGTCACTGTGTGAGCTTCCTTGAACTTCTCCCTAATCAGAAGTTCACAGAGTTAGATTTTTTTAGGGGACCAACCTGGCCTCCTTGCCTAACACATCTATCCCGGCACATGACCCCATGCCTTGTGAATACTTTCAAAGACCCTCTCCAACAAGAATATAAATTCTTCTATCCAACCAGTCTATCGTGTCTTCTTAAGGAGCCCTGGTGGTACAACAGTTAAGTGCTTGGCTACTAACTGAAAGGTTGGTGGTTCAATCCCACCCAGTAGCTCATAGCAGAAAGACCTGGCAATCTGCCCCCATAAAGATTACAGCCTAGAAACCCTATACAGTCACTATGAGTCAAAATTGACTTGACAGCACCTAAATCAACATACTGCTTTCTTGCCACAGAAAAATGTTTTGCCCTCATACTTTCTTAAATACCTTTTCTCCAGAAAATACC